GGAGAGCAAATGTTTTGAGAATGATGAGGGTAACAAAAGTACAAATGTGCTTTATACAATTGACGTATGTATGGACGGTGATAAGAGTTGTATGAGCCAGTCTCTTTCCGGCATTTGAGATGTCGAAGCGAGGACGTAGTGGGTCCTCCGGTGCAAAGTTCCAGATTTCCCTGGGTCTTCTGGTCGGAGCAATGATCAACCATGCTGACAACACGGGAGCCAAAAAATCTATATATCATCTCTGTGAAGGGGATCAAAGGTCGGCTGAACAGACTGCTGGATGTCGGCCTGAGTGATATGGTGATGGCCACAGTCCAGAAAGGCAAACCCAAGGTCAGAAAGAGGTACATCCTGCAGTAGTGATACGACAACGAAAGTCCTGTCAGAGAAAAGATGGTCTGTTTGTTTATTTTGAAGATAGTGCGGGGTCATAGTAAACAATAAAGGCGAGATGGAAGGTTCGGCCATCACAGGACCCGTTGCCAAAGGAGTGTGCCGACTTGTGGCCCCAGATTGCTTCCAATGCTAGCAGCATTGCGGGATTTTGCCATCTATTTTTTCAAACTACCAACCACCCTATTAAAAATTATTCACACCCCAAAAAATAAAAGAGTTGTATGAGCCCCTAATAAAAAGATCTTTTTAAAATGTGTTACAGTATATGCATTTTCAAAAGCCTGCTTTTGATAAGCTTCTAAGATTATAGCGAGATCGATTTTGTATACTTCACACTTAATATGCTCTCCTGCCCCTATTCATGAAAATTATATGGATTATAGCGAGATCGATTTTGTATACTTCACACTTAATATGCTCTCCTGCCCCTATTCATGAAAATTCTGTTGAATGAAAAAAAACAAAAACAGTGTGACAAAAAAGGCATGTTTTGTGATAGACAGGGGACTGGTTTTGCCACCACGACTATGCACCTGCTCGTGCAGCCATCTCAGTGTGTCAGTGTTTGGCAAAAAACAGCATGCCTCTCTTTCTCTATGTACCTTACTCACCTAACCTCACTCCTTGTGACCACTTTTTGTTTCTGTGAATGAAGAGGGACATGAAAAGAGCGATTTGATGACATAGAAGAGGGGAAGAAAAAAACAAGGGAGGTGCTGTCAGCCATCCAAACAGATGAGTCTGAGAAATGTTTCCAAGAATGGAACCGCAGATTCAACAAATGTATTAAGTTTAAGGGAGAATACTTTGAAGGTGATAAGGTTGTTTTATAAAAAAATTTAAATACATTGCTTTGAAAAAAAAATCCAGGTTTTTTTGGGGGGCACCCTCTCACAGACTATCTCTCCAATCCACACAGCTACCCTACTCAGCAAGATGTTAATTTTGTAGAGTAATTAAAACAGACAGGCCATAAATTTACCATACTTGTGTATAAGCCGATTTTTTTTTCAGTACATTTTTAATGCAGTTTTGTGGTGAAATTAGGTGCCTTGGCTGATATTGGGGTCGGCTTATACTCGAGTATATATGGTAGTTCTATTCAGGTGTCAAACTGAAAATAATGACATTTTGCAAAAGCCTCTAAATTGTATATGAGAATCAAGCCTCCCTGCTTTCACTAAGAATTTGTAAGCTGCCATCTGTCTCTGGAATGATATGTGTGTATTTTAATCTGTACAATTACAATATTGCCTGTTTCCATGGAAAAAAACAGATTTGCGAATCATATTCTTTAGCCTTGGTTCCAGAAAAATGAAATGCATGATTTACAGTAGAGAGAAAAACTTTACATTTCTCTTGGTTCTTTCTAAGAAGGTAGAAAACCATATTAACGTTATATTGTTGTATATGCATAAATATACCAGATTTTATTTAATGCTTTGCAAAAGAAAAATTTGTAAAGTCCTAAAGTCAAGAATTGTGAGCCTCCAAAATCTAAAGTTTGTTTTATATACTTTTTAAGTGACGTTCAAAAGAATTAATTAGCATTTAAATTCTTATATTATTTTTATAGTTTCATTTGGCATGGTATTTTCTAATAAAATTTTTGGAAAGCATAAATTAAAATATGTCAGAAATAAAATTTATCCTACACTAATTTAGAAAACATTTTGGTAGGAAATGTAGAGCAGGGGGACTCACATTATGGAACTTCTGTATTATTAATGTGTGTTTTTGTTTTGCAGCGCAAGACGCATCAGTTCTTTGTAAAATCTTTTACTGCCCCTACTAAATGTCATCAGTGTACCTCATTGATGGTGGGTGTGATCAGACAAGGCTGCTCATGTGAAGGTAAGAGCAACCTGGACAGAAATGTGAATTTGTATTCCTGTAGTAGCTTAATTTTCTTTAACAGGTATATAAATTTTTGTTTGTCGTCCCTTATCATTTGATTTTCTTGGGATAATAGGGATAGAAATAATAAATTGAGCACCTGCTAGCATCTGCTGAAAACTGGGGAATGGTCATTAGACAGATCATCATATGTTCCAGGGAGATACATTTATGCTGCATTCTCTTTCATTATTTAAGTGAATTCTTGATTCTGAAAAATAGCACTAACCTACTTATATGACAGGAAAAATGAAAGGTTATCCTTGAAAAATGTTCCATTTAACCTTATTCAATTTATTATAGAATTTATTATTGAAAAGACAATAGCACAGTATCTGTTCAGTAGTATTAAATGTCTCTACTATGCTTAAAAAAATTATTTTATCCCTAATATTAGTAGCAATGTCTACCTACTCATTAATTGATTTGCCTGTCTCCTGTTGTGGCTTGCCTGCTTCTGGCCTCAGAGATACGGTAGTAGATGAGAGAAGATACAGGTCCCGCCTCGATCAGTTTGTATTCTGAGAGAGGAAGGGGAAAGAATCATAGGTCATTTGAGTAAAAAACAGAATATTTGTTTGGGTGCTTCTTTATTATTTATAGGATTTCTGAAATAAAAAGTATTTAAATTATGGTTATATATATTATTTGTGTAAGTTTTAGAAATACACTTTTTTAATCTAACAAGATCTGCATTATATGTGAGTATTCATATTGCACAAGACACTAGAGTATCTTTTAAGAATGACAAAGATACTTGTGAATACAAATTTTAATATGAGTTTTCATTTCCTAACTCTCACATTCTTAAGGTTAGAAGAGTCCTGAGAATACAGTTAATCACCATCAGTGCATTTGTTGTTTTCCTGCATATAGTTATAGTTAGCCAATCTTTGAATGCTTTGCGTAAGGGGAACAATTCATAGTATATTAAGGCAATACATTCTATATTTGCTTGCCTGGATTTGGAAGCAGTGGGAGTGGTTAGAGTTGAAAAGTAGAGATTTGAAAGTTATGAGTGTACAAAGTCATAAATATGCATAACATTATCCAGAAGGGGCATGTGAATGAAAAGAAGACAAGTACAAGAACAGAGCCCTGGAAAGCATATTTAAGAGGAAGGCAAGAAGATAGCAAAGTAATTCTAGTAGGATTGACTAGAAAGTTATAACTGAAGCTAAAGAAATACAGTGTGCATTTAGTTTTCAATACTTAGGTAATTTGAAACTTAGCCCCTGCTTATTAAATGTTTGTAAATATCATTTAAAAAAATCTTATCTGAAAGAGGCTAGCTACCTGGCTTTACGTCCCCTGCCATGGTTTATTTCTTAGAATCATTTGCAATTCCACAGTAGGACTTTCTGAGAACTTCTCAGACTTCCTTCCAAAGTTTTAAATAATAATTCTCATTCACCTAACTCTCAAGTGGTATCTATGAGTTTATTTTCGTTATACTTTTGTTTTAGGATCTCAAGCTCACCAAGTGAGTATCAAACAACTGATGCATATGACAGTATTATTAATAGATGTGCACACTTTGAACCTGGTTGCCTGGGGTTAAAATTAAGCACTGCCATCCCTTAGTTCTGTGTCATATGTAACATGGGGATAATAATTGTACTTCCCTTGAGTTGTTAAAGGACAATTGAAAGTACAAAATAAAGTTAGCTATTACTGCCTGATCGATAGCTTAAGAGTAGAAGCAGCACTCAGGAAATCAAACAATACAGTGCATTGGGCAAATCTGCGCAAGACCTCTTTGATGCGTTGAAGAGAGAAATTGTTACTTTGAGGTCTAAGGGGAGCCTTAGCACAGTGGTATTTATAAAATACAACAAAGGCTGAGCATAGTTGAATGCTTCTCCTTAACTTTGTAATGTAGGCGTAAAGGTTTTGAAGAAAAGATAGGTACAATTGGGATCATGATAGTAGAGGGGAGAGCAAGCATTTAAAAGTTTAGGAAAGTTGTATATTTCATCATTGCTACCCTGAAACCTGGCTGCTGCCATCATTTTCAAAGCATTCTCTTTCCACTAGAGCCCTTGATATCAGCTCCTCATTTTTCCCCCTCCCGCCCCTGCCTGCCCTCCTCCATGAACCCTTGATAAGTTATAGATTATTATTTTCATATCTTATATCGTCCTGTCACCCTTCACTCACTTTTCTGTGGCTCGTCCCCCTGTAGGGTGGTTATATGTTGATCCTTATGATCGATTCCCCCTTTCTCCCCGCAACCTTCCCCCAATCCTCCTGGTATGTCTATTCTCATTGTTGGACCTGAGGGGTTTATCTATCCTGGATTCCCCATGTTGCGGGCTCTTATCTGTAGCAGTGTACATGTTCTGGTCTACTCTGATTTGTAAGGTAGAATTGAGGCCATGATAGTTGGGGGAAGGGAGCATTAAAGAACTAGAGAATAGTTGAGTGTTTCATTGGTGCTATACTGCACCTTGACTGGTTCATCTCTTCCTTGTGACCCAAAAAGGAAGATTTTTGATAGAATGGATTGGCACAGTGGCTGCCACAATGGGCTCAAACACAGCATCGATTGTGAGGATGGCTCAGAACCAGGCAGGGTTTTGTTCTGTTGTGCACAAGGTCTCTGTGAATCAGAATGGACTCGACAGCACCTAGCAACAGTTTAAATATATGTGATAATATTAATGACTACTAAAATTTATCCTTAATTTATGCTGTTTTAATCACGGAACAGTTTCAATCACCAAATCAGGAATATCCAAATGAGTCATACCAGAATTTCTCGCTTATAGTATCATCAATATAAATCTAACGCCTGTTGTGTTCTTTAGGATCCCTGATGGCGTAGTGGGCTGTTTGTTGGGCTACTAACTACAAGATCGGCAGTTTGAACCCACTAAGCTGCTCCTGGGGATACAGTTAAGGCTTTCTGCTCCCATAAAAATGTACCCCCTTGAAAACCCAAAAGAGGAATTCTGCCCTGTCCTATAGGGGCTCTTTGAGTTTGTGGCAGTGGGTTTGGATTTATTGTGTACCTATCATAATAATATATTCAAGGAATTTAGAGAAGTTATATATTTTTAAATCGTTTATACAATTCTTTTTTGAGGTGCTATAATCATATAATTGTTCTTTTTGAAAACGAGATAAATCACAGTTTTTATATTTCAAACTATTTTTTTATTAACAAACTATTTTAGTGGGGGCTCTTATAGCTCTTGTAACAATCCATACATCTTATATGTAATTTACTTGCTTTATAGAAAGCTACAGTATCCTTATTTAATTACTTTCAAGAAGTCCAATGTGGATTTCTATTTAGAGAGACAATAAAGAAAAGTCTATAATCAAGGTGGCAAAACTCACTTGCCACATTTGGTTTAAAGTTCAGTGTAATTAATAGAGTGCTAATACAGTTTACTATATCTTTTTAGTGGACATGTATTAATGAGGAATTTTCTTCATTCTTCCAGCAAACACTAAATATCTGTTCCTTGGGAAACACTGGGCTAGTCATAGAGGGATGAAGATTTCTGCCAAATGTGGAAGATAGAAAGGCCATTTTACCCCTGCCATAGCACCAACATGTTCATGGTCTATGAAGGAAACTGCTTAAATAGGCAAATAATTTCAATATAGCACAATTTGTTTTTAAAAAAATTTCATTTACAAAGAAGTGGCTTCACAAATCAAGGAAGGCTTCAGGGAAGAAAAATGTTTGACCTGAATTTTGGAGGTTAAATGGAAGTTAGGCGGGCAAATAGAGGGGCTATCTGAAGTACTGTGCAGTAGCATATAGGCAAGAAACGGAATGGCAGACTCACACTTGTAAATCATTTTATATAATAGTATATTCTCTACAGAAAGGGAAAGCCTCATAGGTGAAATTATGAGAGAAGCCAGAGGCTTATTCAATAATAAGAAGCAAAGGTTTTTATCCTGGGGGCACAGTGAGGAAAAATTATTGCTGAGAAAAAAGAAAAAGACTAACAGAGTTAAATTTAGAAAGTTCATTCTGATCACATATGGAGAATAGATTATAGAATGAAACGATTTGGGAGGCTAGTCCAAGTAAGAAAGTAAAACCAAACTAAGGTTTAAAATCTTCACGGCGGGCTCATTTCTCCCACAGTGGGGTGGTAGGTTCAAACTACTGGTGTTGCAGTTAGCAACCAGTCACAAAACCAACCAGGGTTCCTGACTCGCTAGATTTGAAGAAAAGTTTCTGGGTCAAACACCATTGGAGTGGGATGAAAAGTTGAAGAGTTCGAACTCTGGGAACTACTTGTTGAGGGGTTCGAAGTATACATCAGCTGTTTTCTTCATAAAACTTGATGGTTTTTTTATATATGTTCTCTCATCTTGACCATTTATGTTAACAGTAACCAATATTATTACAGAAAGGAAATTTTGCCATTTCTCATTGAAGTTCTTATTGCCAAGGCAATGGATCAGCTATTTCCTCGGACGATGGAGAGTTCCTTTAGAATAAAACAGAACTGTTCATCTCACATAGCACCTTGTGTGTAGTGGATGTGCAGGAAGTATCTTTTGGTAAAAATAAATTCCTCTTGAACATTGTTTGTTTTTCTTCCCTCCAAAAGTGTGTGGATTCTCATGTCATATAACTTGTGTAAACAAAGCTCCAACTGCTTGCCCAGTTCCTCCTGAACAGACCAAGGGGCCGCTGGGCATCGATCCACAGAAAGGAATAGGAACAGCGTACGAAGGTCATGTCAGGGTGAGTATATTAGGTCGTTTAGATTCGTCTTTAACGGCTTGGGAATCAATTCAACTTAAACCCAGTCATTCTCTGAACATAATTTTTGGCAGAAAATTAAATGAGTAGATCTCACCTAATCCTTTTACTTCATCAAGAATCATAAGTTGAAAATAAAAAGCTAGCTTTTGCTTAGAAATAAATTCCAAAACTTTTACCAACTTTTCTGTATGGTTTCTGTTATGTGCTGAACAAATGTTCAATTCTCCATGAAGGACTCTTTGGCAGATGGTCTTGCCAGATAGGTTGTGAAGATATGGTTATGAAGTATGAGAGATTACCAAGACATTATCTTACTGACTGCCATGAATAGTACTGAAAGCAGGACCCAGATTTCCATCTTACTACCAAGTTTGACGTTTATGCTACTTAGAAAGAAAGTCGTGAATGTTATTTTAATGAATTACTGATATTCTCACATTTTTCACATTGTTGATGATATTTGTATTCCATCTGCTACTTTACCAACCAAAGTGACAAGCTTATACTATATTTGCGTTATCATTAGGTGTTCATCATACAATTACATATGTAACCGAAGGAGCTCTTAGTGAAAATTGATTTGAGTTTTGTTTGTTTGTTTGTTTTCTTGCCTGTCTGCATACTACTAAACTAAGACGCCTAAACCAGCTGGAGTGAAGAAAGGATGGCAAAGAGCATTGGCTGTGGTTTGTGACTTCAAACTGTTTCTGTATGACATTGCTGAAGGAAAAGCATCTCAGCCCAGTGTTATAATCAGTCAAGTGATTGACATGAGGTAGGCTTGCAGCGGTGAAAATAGTTACATCATTGCCACATGAGCGTATAAAGTTTCTGATTGTCTTTTAATAATATTTCCATGTTTAATTTATTGTTCATTACTTTTATAATTTACTAATGTTGGGCTATAGTAATATAATTAATAGTAGAAAGTAAGGTATAATGGATTTTGTGTCTTGTAGCTAGGGACGGACTAGGAAAAAGAGACTGGTGTTTCAGTTCAAAAGAGCAGGTTAGAGTTGCTGGGGTTATGGTAACCCAGTGTTTGATATTTATATCATCACCTAAAAATGTAGAGTATCATTCCAGTGTGAGGAAAAGCAATAAAAATCTCAGAATCAAACCAGCTCTTAGAATATACAATGAAATCCATAAACATCCATGTAAACACATCTCTTGAGAGAAAAGCAATGTGCTTTTCTTTCTGCCTCTGAAATCTCTGAATGCCTTAGTCTCATTTTACAGGTGTTCCTCCTGTTCTTTGGGGGTCTCTCCTTTTTCTCTTCTCAACTCCAGGCACACTCTGCATGCTCTCATTTGCTGCCATAACTGAAGCCATAGTTTCTATCGTGATGATTCCCAAACATATGTCCAGTCAGCTCTATCTCCTGTCCACAAGACCAAGATTTCCAGCTATGTCTCCCACTATGTTTTACTCCAACATCACAGACATATTATCCTCCCCACAAACAAACAATATATTCAGGGCTGGTTGTTGTGTTGTTGGGTGAAGAAGTATATGCAAGCAATATTAAAGAAAATTTAATAGAATATGTTATGGGACTAAATATAGAAAGATAGAAAAAGGAATGAAAAAATAAGATACCCGTATTAAGACCAAAGGGGTGATGGAACCAATAACCAAATTAAGGAAATCACAAGGAATAAATTATTGAAGAGGAAATCTATTTTATGTCTTGAGGACATTTACAACTTTTTTTTTTTTTTTACGAAGACTATGGGGTCTCCTGGAGGCTCTGAGGCACTATCCAGGTTCAAATCTGTTTTAGGTGTTCATTTATTTACCTTGTGACTTTAAGCCACTTGCTATTTTTAGCTCTTTGCACTGTTAAATTACTCTTGATAAATTACATTGGGCACTGCTAGTGAGCTTGTAAAATGGTAAAATAGTTTGGCAGTTCCTTGAAAATACAGAATTACCATGTGACTCAGCAATTTCTTTACTACACATATGTCCAATAGAATTGAAATCAGGAATGCAAACAGACACTTGTACACCATTGTTCATTGCAATATTATTTATAATGCCCAAGAATGACAACAGCCTGTATGTTCATTAGCAAATAAATGAACAAGATGCATAAATGATACATGCATACAATGCCATAAGAAGAAATCATTCCTGATACGTGCTGTGTATAATATGAATGAACCTTGAAAATATGCTGAGTGAAATAAGTCAGTCACAAAAGGATAAGTTGGGTGTGGTCCCACTTATATGGAATACTTGGACGAGGCAAGCATATAAAGACTTGTGTTTATCAGGGTTACCAGGGCAAGCAAGAGGAAGGGGAAAGGGGACTGAGCTGTTAAGCAAGGTTGATGGGAAATTTGAAAACAGACAAAGCTGATGGTTGAACAACATAATAAATGTCACTGAGCTACATAGTAAGAATGTTGAAATGGCAACTATTTTGTTGCTTATATATCTCACAGTAAAGAGATTACTTTGGGTAGTATCATTTATAATGATGGAAAAAATCAAAAGATTTTTTGAAGTTCAATTTGTCCATTTTATACAATTTTGAGGATTACGCCTCATGAATTATTTTAATACCTAACACCATACACAAATACCCACATACACTGACTTTGTGTTTAGTAAAATTTTATTGTTCAAGATGTACAGCTGTTTGGGCCTGTTCGTGCATCTTCACCAGCATTTTCGCCCTTGGTGTTTCTGTTATAAAATACCTGAGGTCTGTGTTTTGAAACCTGCTAGCAAAAGCCCTTTACTAAGTAGTCCCTGGAGGGCTGCCCCGGCAAGGGTACCTTACATTTTCAGTCTCTCAGAGACAACAACTGAGGTTATAAGCATACACTTAAGAACTTGCTTACTAAGCTTGTCATAGGTGGTTTTGTCACGTAGGATCAGGTTAGTGCGCTTGTCCTGCATTTTACTTTTAGATGACGTCATTTTGGCCTTGCTCCAAATTTGTTCCCTGGGTCTCTGTCTTCCTTGGCTGACTTTCTAGCATCTTTCTTGTCCTTGGGCAGTATCTCAAAGCACAAAGAGGAGATACTGTAGCCATAGCCTTGCTAAAATGTCTGGCAAAGAGGAATCTATATAATGACTTTTTTAATGTGTCAATTTTTCTTCAGGGATGAAGAATTTTCTGTTAGTTCTGTCTTGGCTTCTGATGTTATTCATGCAAGTCGAAAAGATATACCCTGCATATTTAGAGTAAGTGTATAAATTGATCTCTGAATATGTTTTAATGAGTGTGTGTTTGCCTTTCCATCTAACTCATAAACCTACTCAGATAGTACCGAATCGCATATTTCTCTGTATTCCCCATACCTTCCAATATGTAAAACTATAAAGCGGCTTCAAAAAGTCCATGGAAAAATTCCATTATGTAAGTGAAAGATCTATCGAAGCTTGAATATATGGTTTCTAAAATAAGTTTCTGCATATATAATACTTTTGTGTCATTATACTGTTTTCCAGCAAATGTTACTGCAATGAAATATTAAGGGAGTTTTTAATATTAATGTGTATTCCAAGTACCTATTTCTTGTAAAAGAACATTCAAAAACACAGTGGCTTAAACCAGCAATGATTTGATGTGTTTTGCATTTCTGTCCATTGGTTGAACCGTTCTTACAGTGTCAGCTGGGGCCACTAATAAGGCTGCTCCAGGCCGTGATGCCAGAGGGCGGATGGGGTGTCTCATCTCAGCTTTATATGGCTGGCCTCCAAAGAGCTAAAGAGATACCAGACTGGTATTATATTCCTTCTGCATGCTTTTGAGGAAAGCAAGATATGAAATCAGCCCTGATTTAAAGGGAGAGAAAAAATACTCCCAACTCTTGATAAAATTCCAATGCCATCCACTCGATTTTGACTCAGAGTGACCCTACAGGACAGAGTAGAGAGAACTTGCTCCTTAGGGTTTCCAAGGCTTTAAATCTCTTGTTTGCACTTTTTGTTCTGAATTAGATGAAGGTTTACAGAGCAGATCATAATTTTACACTCAACAATTCATATACATTCTGATTCAACTCATCCCTTGCATCCACTTAGTGTACCATCACTTATTCCAGTTAAGAAACAGTACCCTTCCTTGACTGTGTCTAACTGTCACATCACTAAGAATTCTGGCCCAGCAAGCTTATACAAAAGCAACTCTCTGCGTATTTGTCTATGCATTTGTGTATAAGGAAGGCGAGACAAAGACAGTAGTTAGTATACGCTCTGTCCTCTTTGGAAAAAGAAACCCATCTATATGGATATGTGACTATTTGTTCTCTCAGGGATCCTATTGAGGCACACTTACTTATTACTGATTGACATAGTGGGATTTTATTGTCACTGATATTTGCTTCACTTTTAATAAGGAATCCATATACATACACGTACACACATAAAGGTAAGTAAAAAAATACTGCTATGAAATCTTTAGTAAACAAAAGTACCAATTTGCGAAGCTATTGTTTCTTAATATTTCCTTTACTCACTGCCACTGAGTCGATTCTGACTCAGTGACCCTGCAGAACAGGGTAAAACTGCCCCCTTGAGTTCCCAAGACTCTTCATGGGAGCAGAAAGTCTCACCTTTTTCTCAGAGTGGCTGCTGTGTTTGAACTGCTGACCCTACAGTTAGCAGCCCAACGCATAAAGACTGCTGAAGGTGATACTTTTCGTCTGTTTAACCCTTCCTGAAGAATTTTGGAAGAATTCCTGAAGAATTTTGTCCTGCTCAATTTATACCACATCTAAATGGCAATTTTGGCATCTTTGAGGAATTTGGACTGTGTTCTTGTTGATTGTCTTTAGAGTTGGGGGGACAAAAAAAAGTCTCAAGAGGCATGACCCAAGGTTAATGGAGTAAGGTTTCCCAACATATTCTCATAGGATAACCCTGCTATCCTCAAAGAATGGACAAATGCATTGTTTTAATGGAAAGGAAGGGAGCCAGGTGGCATAGTAGTTATATGTTGGGTCAGCGGTTCAAAACCACCAGCTACTCTGAGGGAGAAAGATGAGGCTATCTATTCCTGTAAAGAGTTACAGTCTCAGAAACTCACAGAGGCATTTACAACTTGTCGTGTAGGGTTATTCTGAGTCAGAATGGAGTTGATGGCAGTGAGTTTTGGGGTTTGAATGCAAAAAAAATTTCTGCATGCAACTTCCCTGGCTTTTTTCTCACTAATACAGTTGTCTTAAAACTTCTTTCTAATAAGTCTTTGTGATTGTTTTGTGTTCTTAGGAAAACATCCCTCAAGATTATTCCTTTGGAATCTCAAAAATAGTTACCATAACCTGTGCTGACTTCTATGCCTTATATTAAATTGACTCAGCAGATCCTTCCTCCCACCCAAGCCACTGTTTTGATTGTACCTTTTCAGAAAGCACCCTAATAAGACTAGAGGGAAATGTCTTCATGAAAGAGCTTGTCTGCAACCATCCACTGGTCTCAGAGACATAATTAACCATATGGCTGGTTTGCAGTAAACCTATGCATGTATGAACCGGGACCCTTGTAGCAATGCTTTCTGGGGTGTGTGTGTGTGTGTGTGTGTGTGTGTGTGTGTAAAATCTGTTCTGAGTGGTGAGTGCTGTTTGCATAATAATAAATCTTCATTTGCATATTAACTCAAATGTTACAATCTCCTGTAATAATTATATGTTATTGTCATAAAGTAAAATGTATTTCTGAACATTTATGACTCTTTAAAAACAAATTGAAAGACGATGTAGTATAGTGGTCAAGAGTTTGGATACTTACTTCAGCACTAGCTATGCACTATGAAGAAGTTTTCTCATATATAAAATAGAGATATGACAAGAATACTTTCTCATCATGAAAACATCATAAGGTTAAATGAATTAGTACTTGTAAAGTGATTCGTATTAGTTCCCAGTGCTTAGTTGTTAGTAAATGTCAATTTTCAAAACAGTTGGTGTAATGCATTCATGTGTTTATTTTGAGGGCCCATATTGGCACACTGGTTAAATGCTTAGCTGCTAACCAAAACTGATAGTTAGCGCCAGCACCTCCTCAGGAGAAAGAGGTGAGAGAATACTTTCATAAAGAGTCATTCACTCACTGGAGCACTGGTGGTGTGGTTACACGTTGGCCTGCTATCCACTTGGCTGGCAGTTTGAAACCATCAGCAGCTCCACTGGAGAAAGACTGGGTTGTCCACTCCCATAAAAAAGTGATAACTTCAGAAACCCTTAGGGGGTCGCTTTAAGTCCGCATTGACTAGATGGCAGTGAGTTTGTTGTGGGATTGGCCACATAGTTTAAAAATTTTTTTAGAAGAGTCACTCACTCACTGCCATCGAATGATGATTCTAACAGGGTAGAACTGCCGCTGTGGGTTTCTGAGACTAACTCTTACTGGGGTAGAAATCCCATCTCTCAGCTGTTCTACTCTGTTTTATAGGGTGGCCATGACTTAGAATCAGCTCAAGGGCAATAGGTTTAATGCATCTTTAAAACTTTATTGTGAATTGGATGAAGCTTTACAGAACAGATCAGGTTTCCATCCAACAATTTATAATACATTTTGTGTCATCTCATTGAAAGGTTAGTATTCTGGCATTTTATAGCAAGGTGAGTAAAAATGATACTAATATTTAAATGGTATCTGCTACCTTTGCTTCGTCTTGAATTCTAATACTAAAACTAGTTATTCTTCCGATTAGGAATAACTAAACTGTTAAAGGTATCATTTAATGAATGCTCATATTATTGATGAATAGTAAGCAAACTAGCTTAGATATAAAATGAACATAAAAGGGATGTGTTTTCTGATGTCATGACTATTGGTTAAATGATTCTAGGTCACAGCTTCCCAGTTCTCTGCATCTGATAACAAGTGTTCAATCCTGATGCTGGCAGACAGTGAAAATGAGAAGAGCAAGTGGGTAGGAGTACTGAGTGAATTGCACAAGATTTTGAAGAAAAACAAATTCAGAGACCGCTCAGTCTATGTTCCCAAAGAGGCTTATGACAGTACTCTACCCCTCATTAAAACAACCCAGGCAGCTGCAATCATAGGTATGCATTTACATTTATCACATTCTCTTAATTGTGTACTAATCTTTCTGTGACCACAGACTGTCTTTTATCTAAGAATCCCCAATACTCATTGTAATATATGGTATATTACAGATGCTTGCTAAATGTTTACGGAATGAATGAGACGTACACTAGAACTTCACTTTTCAGTTAACAAAAATAAGCACACTTTGCAAATGTTTGTTCTGAAGAGGCCATAGTACCAAAGGTTATCTAATAACTGATCTATTTTCTGCCTGTGTGACTTAGAACAAGGTACTTAATTTCATATAGCCTAAGTCTCATGTGAAATGTAGATACGCCTATCAATTACCTTGCTCAAGTTGTTGATAAGTATAAATAAAATAAGCTATGTTAAACATATGAAATACCCTTAAGAAATGGTAGTTTTCATGCCTGCAGCTGTAAATTTTGGTCACATTCTCATATATACATCAAACTCTTTTGTTACTTTCTAATAAATTCTGAAAAGTTTAATGAGTAGTATTCAAATCTATTTGTCTTTCACAATTTCTCCTCACAAAACAAGAAATGGAACTGGACCCCTAATTCATAGAACAAGCATTCCATTATTTTTCTAAGTACTAATATAGGTTAGGTTCCTAGTGATTGTTCTATTAAAATTGATCAGTGATAATATATGCCACTGTATTATAAAAAGAAATTTATTGTGTAAATTACTGTTATTTTTAAATCCTTCATTCTCTTTAATTTACTTTACGCCAATTTAATTTACTAATAAGTTATATCTGGTTTATTTCAACTTTATGTAATGTTGCCTAATAATAATTGGGTTTTTTATGTCTTATATAGATCATGAAAGAATAGCTTTGGGAAATGAAGAAGGACTGTTTGTTGTGCATGTCACCAAAGATGGTAAGAGAAAACTTGACTCCTCTGCAGTAACTTTAAACCAAATGCTCTTTCATGTTTTGTTGTTATTTTTAATTTTAATAAATCATTTTACTGGGGGCTCTTAACAACTCTTATAACAGTCCATACATCAATTGTATCAAGCACATTTGTACTTATGTTGCCATCATCATTTCCAAAACATTTTCTTCTTACTTGAGCCCTTGATATCAGCTCCTCTTTTTTCCCCTCCCTCCCCCACCCTTCCACCCTTGTGATCCCTTCATAATTTATAAATTATTTTTATTTTCATATTTTACACCATCCACTGTCTCCCTTCACGCATGTTTCTGTTGTTCATCCCCCTGTTGTTCATCACCCATGTTTCTGTTGTTCATCCCCCAAATGCTGTTTTAAGTTGCCAGAATTTTATTTTCTTTAGCTGAAAATTTCCTAATCTAATTTAATGTGGTTTTATATCAAATAATCATTTTTAATTTTCATAGTCTCCCTGAATTTTTTAAAAATCTTTTTATTTATTTATTTATTTTTAAGCATTTTATTAGGGGCTCATACAACTGTTATCCCAATCCATACACACATCAATTGTGTAAAGCGCATTTGTACATCGTTTCTCAAAACATTTTCTCTCCATTTAAACCCCCGACATTAGGTCCTCATTTTTCCCCTCCCTCCCTGCTCCCCCCTCCCCCATGAGCCCTTGATAGTTTATAAATGGGTATTTTGTCATATCTTGCCCTGTCCGACGTCTCCCTTCATCCACCTTTCGGTTGTCTGTCCCCCAGGGAGGAGGTCACACACAGTTCCATGTAATCGGTTCCTCTTTCCTACCCATTCTCCCTTTACCCTCCCTGTTTCACCACTCACACCACTGGTCCTATAGGGCTCATCCGTCCTGGATTCCCTGTATTTTCCGTTCCTATCAGTACCAGTGTACCTCCTCTGGTCTAGCCAGACTTGCAAGATCGAATTCGAGTCATGGTAGTGGGAGCGGGGAGGAAACCTTTAGGAACTAGAGGAAAGTTGTATTTCTCATCATTGTTACATCGCACCCTGACTGGCTCATCTCCTCCCTGAGACCCCTCTGCAAGGGGATCTCCAGTGGCCTACTAACGGGCTTTGGATCTCCACTCCGCACTCCCCCATCATTCACTATGGTAAAGTTTTTGTTCTGATGATGCCTTACACCTGATCCCTTCGACACCTCGTGATTACATAGGCTGGTGTGCTTCTTCCATGTGGGCTTTGTTGCTTCTGAGCTTGATGGCCGCTTGATTACCTTCAAGCCTTTAAGACCCCAGACGCTATACTTTTTGATAGCCGAGTCTCCCTGAATTTTAAAACCTGAAGTGGTTTCTCTTTCTTGGGTCATTTTATGTAATAGCTCTATATGCACTCAGATTGCATTCCTAAAGAAAACACAACTTGATTTTTCCAGTATTCAATTAATACAAAAGAAGCACTGGCGGTCTAGTGGATTTTATATTGGGCTGCTAACCAAAAGGTTAGCAGTTCAAACGCACCAGCCTCTCCACAGGAGAAAGATGAGTCTTTCTGCCCCTGTAAAGATTTATAGCTAAAGAAAACCACAGGAACACTTCAGTTCTATCCTGTAGGGTCAGTTCTATCCTGTAAGTCAGAATTGAGTTGATAGCAGTGAGTTTGGGGTTTGTTATTTATTTGTTTGTTAGTACTGTAAGAAATATTATCCTTGAAAATGTGCTTGTTTTTGCCCACACTTTAACAAAACAGCCATTAAATACTGAGTGAAATAAGGAACTGATTAAGTTCAGTCCTTCAACTTTAATCATAGGAAAGCAATGCATTGAAAATAGTTTGTTATCCATTTCAGTAACTTTACTGTCTTCCCTAGAAATTAATGCTAACAAAAAGATTTTTCTTAAAGATTTGTCATGCTTTATCAGACAAGAATTTTTTGCTTTGACTGCCTAAAATCTCAGTGTTAAATTGGATTCTTTGCTATTGTGATTGCTTTCTATCTTATCATAGGTTGAATTATCTTCCCTTTTTACTCTCTGGAGCCCTGGTGGCCCAGTAGGGTAAGTGCTGAACTGCGCAAGGCCCAGTCGGCAGGTTTAACCCCCATTGGCTCTGAAGGAGGAAGATGAGGGTGTCTGCTCCTAAACACCCAACCTAAAGAGCTGTTCTGTCATGCAGGGTTGCTGTGACTGAGAAATGACACCATAGCAGTGCATGTGTGGTTTTAGGGGTTTTCTTTGTTTGTTTCTGTGCAGTTTATACTCTTACTCTTCTGTGTATCTGTGTCTTCAGCATGTTGACATATTATTTTGTGAATCATTGGGAGGGTTATTGTTAATAAAATATTTTTATTTGATTTATTATTATTTCTTTGTGTAGAAATTATTAGAGTGGGCGACAATAAGAAGATTCATCAGATTGAACTCATTCCCAATGAGCAACTTGTTGCTGTGATCTCAGGACGAAATCGTCATGTACGACTTTTTCCTATGTCGGCTTTGGATGGGCGTGAGACTGATTTTTACAAGCTAGTAGAAACTAAAGGGTGTCAAACCATAACTTCTGGAAAAGTGCGCCACGGAGCTCTTACATGCCTGTGTGTGGCTATGAAAAGGCAGGTCCTCTGTTATGAACTATTGCAGAGCAAGACTCGTCACAGAAAATTCAAAGAAATTCAAGTCCCATATAATGTCCAGTGGATGGCAATCTTCAGTGAACAGCTCTGCGTGGGATACCAGTCAGGATTTCTAAGATATCCCTTAAATGGAGAAGGAAGCCCATTCAGTATGCTCCATTCAAATGACCACACACTGTCATTTATTGCACATCAACCAATGGATGCTATCTGCGCAGTTGCGATCTCCAGTAAAGAATATCTGCTGTGTTTTAGCAGCATTGGGGTATACACAGACTGCCAGGGGCGAAGATCAAGACAACAGGAGTTGATGTGGCCGGCAAACCCTTCCTCTTGCTGTAAGCCTGTTATTTTTGCTTGTCGAAGCTATCTCTTTCTCTCTCCTTTCACTTAATCTTTTAAATGTAGTCGTTGTTCATACCAGGTTTTTGTTTTGTTTTGTTTTTAAGTCATCCGTAAGGTTTTTCCTAAGCATTCCTCATGTTACTTATATAATCATAATGTAGTGAGGCCTAGACCAACAGGTTAACATGCACTACTCTTCTGTAGAACAGTTTACTTAGATGAATGCTTAACCCATTATGTATTTTGAAATAACCTAGTTATTCTAGGTTATTCTAGAGTACAGTGCTTGTATTCATTAATATCTCATAGGACTTATTCTGGGAAAAGTAGGTACTAAGTGAATGATATAATCAGTTATGTAAAGGTAAAATGTTACTCATCTTACATTTTATATAGACAAGGAGAAATTTTTAATTGCTTGTTTCACACTTTCAAGAAATATTCAGATAAACTGTTGAATATTTATTATGTGCCAAGGATCCCTTGGTGATGATGTCGGGTAAATGTTTGACTGCTAACCACAAGGTCAGGGATACCAACCCACCAGCCGCTCCATGGGAGAAAAATAAGACTATCTGCGACTGAAAAGATTTGCAGTCTCTGAAACCCTCTGTAGGGTTACTATGAGTTAGAATTGACTTGAGAGTAAGGGATATGTTGTGCCATTCACTGTATGAGGCACAACGAAGAACAAAATGGCATCATCTTGCCTTCGCAGAACATACACTGCATTAGAGAAGATTTATGATAAAATAAGTAGATACAGTAAAGTGTAAATGCTACAGAGCTCAGTGGAAACCAAGAGGAAAATAATCCAAAATGTTTTGTGTTTAATGAAAGAAACTTGAACATATTTAACTGCTGGAGGGAAAGAAACACTAGGGAACTCCTAGGGAAAGACTGACTGTATGGTGATATAGGAAATGGAGTAAGATCCCCACGAAGGCCGGGGAAGATAGAACCCAGAACACTTGCAGAAAGATGACTTGGGGAAGAAGGAATGGAGGAGGATCGGTTATGCGGACAGTCCAGGTACAAGTTTGGTGGAAGAGAGTTTTGGAGAGCAATCAATACATGCTTATTATAGAAAACTTAGAAAATCTAAATTAAAATAAAAATTTAAATATACCGACTTCTACCCACTCTAACTATTTTAATGTACTAATTTTAAACTATAATTCATGTTTATATTTTAAGAAATATATACTCTTAATAATGGCATCATATGTATAATGAATGCTGTGTAGTGTAACACAGTCAAACAATTTGAAGTATTATTTTATGTAGACATCTAATGTAGATTAAAACAGGAGTCCTGTGATCACATGGTTGGAAGTTACAAACCACCAGCAGCAGCTCCTCGGGAGAAAGACTGGGCTGTCTATGCCCCTAAACAGCTACAGTCTCAGAAACCCACAGGGCTCGATGTGAGTCAGCATTGGCTTGATGGCAGGGAGTTTGGAGTTAATGTCGATTAAAAGGGAGCCCAAGTGGTATCGTGAGTTACACATTGGGCTATAAACTGTAAGGTCAGCAGCATGAACCCACCAGCCGCTCTGCAGAAGAAAACTGTGGCCGTCTGCTCCTATAACGATTTGGAGCCTGGGAAACCCAGAGGCAGTTCTGCTTTATCCCGGAGGGTCAGTGTGAGTCGGAATTGATTCAATGGCAGCTTTGTTTTTGGTTTTTAATGTGGATTAAAGGGTGCCCTGGTGATGCTCTCAGTAAAGCATCAGACTGCTAACCACAAAGTTGGCTGTTTAAATACACCAGATGTATCAGGAGAGGTGGATAAGGCATCATGGCCCCTAAAGATTTATAGCCTTAAAAAATATATATATATTTGCAGTCTCAAAAACCCTGTTTGCAGTCACTACGAGCCAGAATTGACTAGGTATCAGTGGGGTTTGTTTGTTTGTTTTGGTAATGTAGAATAAGAGTTGAAATAGATTGCTTGTATGAATAGTGCTGCCAATAATTTAATTTGTGATCTCAGTTTAGATAAATAATATAACCTCTATTTGCTTATGGTACCCTTTATTGATATTCATTCTTTATTTCAACAACTATATATTGAGCTCTACCTATGCATCCAACTGTGCTAGGTATATTATGTTATATTCATAAGAGACTAGAACATTTACCTAAAGATTGTTCTGCTTTATAAATGTAATAAGATTCCTTTGAAAATGGAATGAAATTCCTTTAGAAAACTAGTGTGGAACAAAGAACTATTAAACTCTTAATATTAACAGAAACATTATGTATTATAATGGCTATATGATCTGATCCCTAGTATGTCAATTCTTCATTCATGATTTATACTCTGTCCACTTCAAAAATATTTTGATATGCTGCTGTGATTGATACCAATTGAATTTTGGTGAGCTTCACCTTTGTGATTATTTAACACTGAGGTTTTTTTTAATGTTTTAGATTTAATAAACTGATCACAAGGTCGTGTTCCTCTTTCCCTTCTCCCAGGTTACAATGCACCGTATCTCTCAGTATATAGTGAAAATGCAGTTGATATCTTTGATGTGAACTCCATGGAATGGATCCAGACTCTCCCTCTCAAAAAGGTAATAATAACAGTAAGATACAGCTCAATTAACTCAGGAATGTAAGTGGTGAAAACATTAATATGACTAGCTATTTTTTGATAATTTAACATTTTTTGGCATATGATTCAGTCATTCTGGACTCAGAAAAGATAAAAATAGTCATAAAAACAAAAAACTATTATAATATATATTATTTAATAAACATTTTAATATTATATTTCTAAAATATAATTGGTATTGTAGCAAAACAACTAGACTATATCCTACAGCCTAAACTGGCAATGTTAGCTTCCATTTCGAGTTTAAGGAGCTCTGAAGGAGTATATTGTTGTTGTACTTATAGGTGCTTTTCACACTTATGCCCTTTTTAGCCCTATGAAGACAACTGTCATAGGCCAGAAAAGTGAATGAACTTAAAACTAAAGTTGTGTTTAAGTGTCATGATTTAAAAATAAAGTTTTCACATATTCCTAATAAAACATAATACAGGTATTGTCCTTTAAGGTTTCCTTACATTTTCATTATGTACAGAGAATTTTTATAGCACAGAACTGCTGTTTTGCAAGATGAAGAGTAATAGTTTCATGCAGACATGTGTATTATCTGTAGCATGTATCATTAGTTGAAGGATCAAGTTGAAAGAAAGTATCCACAATCACATTTCAAATATTTACCCGCTTTGAAACACTGTAGAATCTGAAAACAGCTCTTGGAAATACTTCAAATAAAGCAGTTAAAATATGCTCCTCCAGTATGAAAATTTGGGCTGTATAATTAATTATTTGTTTTATTTTTCTTATACAATATTGGGACTGTATATGTGAAAGAAGACAGCACTTACAGGATAGCATAACTTGTAAATTACTCACTTGTGAACTCATCTACTAACTTAAAAACCAGAACATTACCCATATCACTGAATCTACCCATTTAGATCAAATCAGAGATTGCAGCCTCAGTATGGATTGTAACTCAAGTAAAGAACACAAAAACCCTCAAAACTGGACCAACAGACAACATCATGATAAATAGAAGATTGAAATTGTCAAGGATTTTATTTTACTTGGATCCACAACCAGTACTCATGGAAGCAACAGTCAAGAATTCAATGTATTACATCGGGCAAGTCTACTACACAAGACCTCTCTAAAGGATTAACTAGCATTTTGAGGACTAAGGTGGCCCTGACCCAAGTTAATGGTATTTTCAGTCACCTCATGTTAAAGTTGGAAAGTGAATAAGAAAGACTGCGCTCCCGCTCTCCCCTGATTAAAAAAAAGAAAGACTAATGTTGAGTCTGTTAATTTGCATTACGGTACTGGTAAAGAACATCGAATGTACCACGAACTGCCGAAAGAACAAACAAACCTGGGTTGGAGGAAGTACAACCAGAATGCTGCTTAGAAGGGAGGATGGTGACACTATGTCTCACATACTGGACACATTTTCAGGGAATATAGTCCCTAGAAAGCGACATCATGCTTGGTAAAATGGAGGAGGGCCAGTCCAAAAGAGGAAAACCCTCAACAAGATGGATTGACACCGTGGCTGGAATGATAGGCTCCAGCATAACAATTGTGAGGATGGCACAGAACCAAACATTGTTTCTTTTTGTTGTACATAAGAATAAATCACATTATATGTCACAACCAACTGGATTAGACAACAGCACCGCCGCCACCGGTGTACTGTCTCCCTTTTTCCATACCTCTACCTCTGCGGAGAGAAAATCACTCTCCTAAATCCTGGGCTTAACATCCCCTTTCTTTTCTTAAAATACAGATACTTTACATATTTAAAAATTCTTAAAACAGTGTATTGTATAGTTTTATTTGGTTTGGGTCTTTATAAAATTGTTACGTTGTATGTTTTTTGAGTGATGTTCCTCATTTATGATGTTTCTGATATTACTACGTCTATATTAATACATTGTACTATAATAGTTCACTACCATGAAACACTCTTGGGGAAATACATTTCAATCCATTTTCTGATAGAGACACTTGAATTCTTTCCTAGTTTATGCTATTATGCTATTTCTGCATATATCTTCTACATGTCTTTAGCAGAAGATATATTTCTCTCTTTGCTACACATTCCTATTAACAAACTGATGGCAGCCATAGCCCTGGAGCTGGTGGAGCCCCATGGAGATCCATGCCAATGCTGAGATGCTTCCACAGCCACTGGATCCACAAGATTATCCACCAACTGGCCTGTGATCTTCCTGAATTTGGTATCATTGCAGGTGTTGCATGAGTCTGAAGAGGAATTTATAGACAGACATCGGACATATGGGCTAATATTGGGCTTATGGACTTGATCAGGACTGGGCTTGGATGTTTTCTCAATATTCAATTACTCTTTAATATAAACGTTCTCGCACACACATGAGTTTTGTCTCTGGATTTGTTTTTTAGTCAACCTGGGCTAGCACATTATGGTACCAGGAGTGGAGTAGTAGAGAAACACATCAAAAAGATGGAGAGTGGATGCTTGTTTGACCTGTCTCATATTAGCTTTTCTTCTTTGGCTAGCCAGAGGTCAGATATGGTTACACTGTTTACTCAAATGTTTTCTGGAACGAAAAAGGGAAGTTTTGATTCCTAGAAGTTGTTTTTGGCTGTTCCTGTCTAAAATGGTGAAAATGAATGTGATAAATGTGAATCTTGAACTCAGCACGAAATCCACCCCTTGAACTTCTCTGAGACCATGCGGCTTAGTGAAAATGACAAAAGGTCAAAATGGCGACAGGAGGCCCCACCCTGCCTTGATTAGGTCAGAGGCCTAAAGCCATATTCGTATCAATGGAATAGTCTAGAAAGGATTAAGATAGGGTAGATATGGGAACTTGACTGTTTTAAGATTGAGTTTAGGATCTGGCTATACTAGGTTTATATTGTTTTTTTCTGCCTATTATTGATATAATGATTGACAGAAATGATTATTGGGAAATATAAATAGAGTTTGTAAGCTCACTCTTTCAGCCATCAATTTTAATCTTTAAATGGGTGTAGGGCACTCCTGCAAAGAAGGCTCTGAAAAAATAAAGCCCACCCAGTGATTTGAGGTACTCAGGACATTTGCATTAGAAGAGTCTTCCTTAGGGGACTGTCAACAGACTGAAGAAAAAAGAAACTCTTTTGAATTTAATTTTGAACTAGTGGCTTGTGCCTAAAGCTGGCAAAAATTGAGCCATGAAGTTGACAGGAGATTATGTGAAGGAACTCTCCTTTCTCGGACTGAATGTTAAAGGGAGCCAGCAGGCAGCCTGAAATGCTTGCTAGGTGGCCACCTGAATCCACTTGTTGAGTGGAAGTGGGAAAAACGCAGCAGTAAAGACGGGTTGAGTCTGGCCACTGACACCCATGGACCTGGTTCACAGGGACTAGAAGAGAATATGAGAGAGGGTTGACTGGTCTGAAATTCATGACCTAGCACAAGGGGGCTAGGGTTTTGAGAATTTGTGATGGGCCCATGGTCTAAAGGCGAGGCAGCCAATGGGCAGCCTATACTGAGTTGACCAGAACCCTGATGAGGCAGTCTACACTGAGTTGACCAGAACCTGATCAGATGAAGAAAAGATGTTTGAGCCTGTGAATCGGTGCATATTGCTGATGACATGGACAACCTGTCCTGATTTGACTTTGCTTATGGATGCAGACTCACGAGGTTCCAACTGGAATGAAGATTCTTCACATTGAAGATAACTGATTGTCTCTTCAGAGCACTGGGTTGATGTAAGTGGGCAGTATAGAAATTGGATACCCACAATGGAAAGGATAAAGGCATGAAGGGGCTAGCTTACAAATTTACATAGGTGAGGGAATGTGGTCATAGGATTAAGGTGTAGGGGTTCACTTAACTGCAATTGTTAGGCACAGACTATTATTGTTTTGTTCACTTATAAAATATTTAAATGAGACTGACATTTTGAGTGATAGGCATTTTAGTTGTATCCTGTTAGGTACAGATTTTATTATTGTTTTGTTTAAAAATTATGCATGCCTAAAGAGTTGTGTAAACGTGTCAAGTTGACAAGGGGTGGTCTGTGGTACTTAGATAATCTCCTGTCAACTTGAGGGTATTAATAGTGAAGAGGTGGAGTTTAACCTGTAAGTCAGGTCACAGCTTGATGACCTCATTTGGAAGCACAGAGATACTAGCTCACTGGAGACCGGACCGATTCTCTCTACCTTCCTTTTCCTGCTGAGGAGACACCCTAAGGAGCTG